TTGGGGTGATAGCTTTAGCTTGTTTTACCCTCTGGGTGATTTTATTACATTTTTCAAGTTAAACTTAGAGCAAGAAAGTTATAAATGACTATTCTTCTCATAGTACAAACGGTGTACCTACGATTAACCTGTTTTAATATTATTCCTTGAAAGTATAGTCTCACTTGGTAGCATAGTTTCTTCGGAGTTCGGATCCTCTACTATAATTGAAAGGCCTTAGTTAAATGTAGCAAACTATTGATTGATTGTGTTACTAGATTGTCTCACTATGTTTTTGTTTGTTCTCATGCTTGCATAGGTAAATTCAGATGCCAAGGCATATCAAAACAAAGTTATTGAGAACTAGGATGATATATGTGTGTTATTGGGCACCGATAGAGCAACTGGCGAGGGTGCAGACCAAATTGATGATTCTATTGCAGCTATAGATATGGAAGGTGTGAATGAAGGGGAGAGCTCTAGCAGAGAGGTTTCAAAATCTTCAACTTCTAAATCCAATAATAAGCTCAAGAGTGACCCTTTAGCAAATGCAGTAAGTGTTGTTGGTGAGATGCTAAAGGAGTATCTAGTGAGTACGAACCCACCAAAAGCTGATTGTGAGGAGATTTATGTCGAGGTATCTAAAGTGAGGGGTATTCCTCCATATTAATTTTTAAGGGTAGTTAAGAGATTCATTGATGGTTCCGCACATGATTTCTGATTGTTGAAGTTACTTCCAGATAATCAAAAGTTAGATTGAATAATGCTATGTCTTGAAAACTCATACTAAATGTAAAAAATAACTCATTAACTTTTCCATTTGCATTTAAGCTCTTATGTGCATCTATTTTGTATATGCTAATATCTGCATCTATTTTGTATCTTCTTATGTGTGCATCTATTTAGTTCACTTGCAGCAGTTTCCTATATTATCGTCTATCTCTTAGTGTATATCAAAATTTCCATATTCACCAATGTTTTAAAAGAGATACAAATATGTCACTTGCTATATGTCACTTGTTTCATATAACAATTCAAGATTTTCATGGATATGTGCCATCCAGAGTGCTGTTATAGAAGCTTGAGATTCTATCCTGATGACACAAAAGTTAGCCTGGCTTTTATGGTTATCTTGAGATTATTTCCATGGTTAGTTTTCTTTTGTTTTCTTAAGATTCCTTTATAGTATCACACTTTAAAATGGATCTCATTTGGTCTTCTTATTGTCTCAGGTGATTTAAGACTTCGTAAAGCAAGACCTCTTAAACCGGGGAGAGAGAGCTACAAAAAGAAATACAAAGCAAAAGTGTATAAGCATTAGAAAGAAACTCTTATTTGAATCAGATGTAAAAGTTTTACAAAAGTGTATAAGCATTAGAAAGAAACTCTTATTTGAATCAGATGTAAAAGTTTTAAAGAAACTAGTGCGAGAGCAACTTAAGAAACTCTTATTTGAATCAGATGTAAAAGTTTTAAAGAAACTAGTGCGAGAGCAACTTACGCATGACACTGTATGATGGGGAAATATTAACTAAAATTGTAGCTTAAACATATTTTAGATCTCTAGTTTGTTGAATTATTATATGCAATATTTGTAGTTTTTACTTTATTTATTGTTATAGTTAACGGTGGATGGGTTTATAAAATTTTATTGATGAATGATTTCGGTCATTTTTATGGTGATTATTATGTGAACTATTAACATTCAGGCGTTCGAAATTTTAAGGTATATTATCTATATGTCAAGTTAGCTGGATATTTGATATACTATTTGAAACATTTATTTCTACCAATTTTGATGCATAACTTATGTAAATTGATTACATTATTTCTAAATTATCTCCGAGCTACAATTTTAGTTCAGAAATTAGAATTCTACTAGTTGACAAATAACTCAATTGAAATTTTTAAAATTGAAATTATAAAGTTTGCTAAACATGAATTTTAAATTAAATTCTGGAATTCAAATTTGAATGTTTTCCAAACGAAGAAATTAAATTTGAAATTCTAGATTTCAAATTCCAAAATTTAATTCTGAAAATTGAAATCAAATTCTCAAATCCAAACGCAACCTAAGAGAATCTGCTTCTAATTTCTTTTACAAAAGCACCAAAAAGGTGCAATTCAGACTTCTCTGAAATTGTTCATGCTCAAAAAAGGCTATGAACATCGCGGTAGTTAGGACAAATTCGGGGCCTAATAGAGCAAGATCTCAGCAAATAGTAGAGTAGAAATAATAAAATGAACACAAAAATTTATGTGAAAAATCTTCTAAATGAATTTGTAGTAAAAACCACAGGCAATGATAGAAGAATCCACTATGAGGAAAAACTAATGAGTTACAATCTCTCTTTTCAAGGAGAAACTTTCTCTATTTTTTTCTCTTTTTCTCTCTCCCTCTCTCTTTTTCACTCTTGATTGGAGATACTGGGAAGATCAGAACTTAACGTCATGAAGAGCTATATATAGGTGAGTTTGTGATAGGTGCGCACTGTTGCTATAGTATTGCTATAGTATTATTTAGTGGGTGTACGGTTGGTGATTACTGTAGCGTGTAGGTGTTTATTGTAGGCATAGTAATTTTTCATCAATCTACCACTTGAAGATTCAATTAAGTATCAATCATATCTTCACACAATACTTTGTATCTTGTTATCTTCATGTTGCTCACGTCTCTGACAGACTACAAGAGAGGATCGATGCCAAATAAATTTATCAGTATTGACTGCTTCTGTCAAAAAGTCTATTAGATTATTTTTGGTGTGAATTTCCTGTATATCAACTATTCCTTCTTCTACTTTCTCACGAACGAAGTGGTACTAAACTGAATGTGTTTTGTGTTTGAATGAAAAGCTAGAGTTTTTGCTAAATGTAAAACACTTTGACTGTCACAAAATAGAGAAATCTTCTTTGTTCATGCTCGAGTTCCCCCAGCACCATCTTCAACCATATCATCTCTTTTCTAGCTTATATAGATGCTACATATTCTGCTTCTATTGTTGAAGAAGTTACAACTAACTACAGTTTTAAACTCTGGCTTAAATCTTCGCTAGCAAGTGCAAACACATAGCCTGTCGTGGATTTGTTATTATCACGATTATCAGGATTCGACATGTATTGACTAACTATTCTTATTGCTTGTGCAATGTCTAGTCTTGTACAAAACATAGAGAAAATTAGACTTCCCACTGCTGATGCATATGATACTCGAGACATCTCAATCCTATATTCTTCACTACTAAGACTAATACTAGAGGATAACTTAAAATTAATAGGAAGTAGAGTAGAAATTAACTTACAATCCTGCATGTTAAAGCGCCGCAAGAATTTCTTCAAATAAATTTTCTAAGAAAGCTAAATCTTCCTATTAATTCTATCTCGGTAAATTTGCATCCCTAGAATCTTATTTGCTGATCTTAAGTCATTCATTTTAAATTTTCTAGCTTACTATGCCTTTGATTCTTTAATATGATCTTTGTTAGGGCCTGCAACCTACATGTCGTCACCATACAACAATAAGATAACAAAGTTATTTTCACTAAACCTCTTGAAATATGTACAATGGTTTGAAATTAAGTCTATTTCATCCAAGGCTCATGATGAATAAATCAAATATCTTATACCAACATCTTAGCTCCTGCTTTAGACCATACAGAGATTTGTTCAATTTACAAACTATGTTCTCTTTTTCTTTTTCTTCAAAGCTTTCTAGTTGGAGCATGTAAATTTCTTCTTCAAAATCTCCATGAAGAAATGTTGTTTTCACATCTAGGTATTTTAGATTTAAGTCAAATATAGCGCTCTTAGCCAGAGCTATTCGAACTATTATATGCGAACTACAGGAGAAAATATTTTATTAAAGTCAATACCTTCTTTTTAAGTATATTCTTTTACCATCAATCTAGCACGATATCGCTCCACTTGATCATCGTTAATTTTATTTGATCTTATAGACTCATTTATTTCTAATGATCTTTCTTTTTAATAATCAAATTTTCTTATACTGATCATTTATATAGGAGGCCTATCTGTTTTTGAATTAAGAAATCCTAACTCCATCTTTCCTTTATCCTCTCACGGATCTTAAGAGTTGTTTAGTGATATAATACTTAAAAAACCCCTTGATCTCCTCTTATCTTCGCTAACCAACCCACCTAACCCCTTCATCTCTTAAAACCCTCACCCACCGCCTCTGCCTTGCACCATAGTAAAAAAAACCAAAAAATAAATAAATTTTAGCAAGAAAGGAAGACTGTTAAAGTTGAAGGAGGAGTCAACCTAGGTTTTTATACCGGCATTCGTATCGTGGAAAGCATTCTTTTCCTGAATATTATTACTTCATAATTATTATTATTTTTGATTTTCCCCCCACTCGTTACATATATTTTTCATGATTTTAATATATGTATGTTATCAATCTGACTAATACATATGATATTAGTTAACGACATTCGTAGTAAATAGTTTGATGGAATTAGTTGTAAATAATTTGATGGCATTAGCTGTAAATAGGTTATGGCATGAGCTATAAATAACTTGATGACAAAGCTATAAATAGGTGAAGATTTATATGAGCAAGTCATTACAGGGTGATATTGATGGGTTTTATGAGTGGTTGGTTAAAACTTTATTATATTGGATTTCGGGTTTTAGATATAGTGTTATTTTCATGATGGTGATATATATGTATATGTATATATACATACATATACATATATACATACATACATATACATATATACATATATATATATATATACATATATATATATATACATATATGTATATATATATATACATATATATATATATTTATACATATATGTATATACATATATATATATATATATATGTATATATATATGTATATATGTATATATGTATATACATATATAACATAATATATCACATATCATTCACGCAAATACTTTATAATCAAAGTAAAATAGTTGTCATAAAAAAATTTCAAAAATACATTGAAATATGTACAACCAGCATTGCAAACAGACAGCTCCCTAACATCAGATATTTTCTTTGTTACTCACATCTATACCCCAGTTTGAAAGAATAATTTTGTTTCCAGTCTTCCAGTAGCAGTTTCTGATTAAAACATTGATGTCTTCATATAGTCTTCGAAAAACCATAATCTTGTGCAACCGTTGATCATGAAAAATTCTACGATTTCTTTCTTGCCAAATATGCCAAACTGCTGTACTCAAAACCAATCTGGCCAAAATGTAGGTTTTATCTTTCACCTTGAATTTGTTTTGTGTTGCTGTTGCTTCAGTTCTCAGGTCCTGGATTGTCCTATCATCGGAATGCAGCTTCAGTTTACAAAGCTTCCATATATAAGCAGAAAAGGGGCATTGGAAAAATAGATGATCAATGGATTCCTTCCCATCAATACAGAGAACACAAACCTCAGTCGAGATGATCCCAAATCTGTAAAGTCTATCTCTGGTAGAAAGTCTATTAAGTAAACTTTTGAGCAAGCAGCAGGACATCTTAGGAACAGAGCATGGAAACCAGACCATATTAAAAAGATCAAATTTTGGGTATAAAGTTCTAACTTGATTCCAGGCAGAAGCAAAAGTAAAATTACCTTTAGGATTATGTAGCCAAGCCCATTGATCTTCCTGTACAGAGATTTGGATATTAGATATAGCTTTCTTCAAAGGGTTGAGACATGGTAGAGAAAACTGCCATTGAGAATTGTGAATGAATATTAGATATAGCTTTCTTCAAAGGGTTGAGACATGGTAGAGAAAACTGCCATTGAGAATTGTGAATGATGTGGGAAACAGACCAGTTTTCTGTGCCTGAGAGATGTGGATCAACATTATGTAGAATGTCTATAATTCTTCCCTCTTGGATCCAAGGGTCAAACCATAGTGAAGTAGTCTCACCATTACCAATAGTTTTCCTAACACAACTCAGAGCAGTAGATTTCAGGCTAGTTAAATGCTTCCATGTTCCAGAATCAAGTGTATTTACTGGTGCATCCCATAAGTTCTTACCTCTGGTGTATCTGGCATTCATCCAGTTGGACCATAGAGAAGAGTTATTAAGAATTCTCCATAACATTTTTAGAGCAGCAGCACTACAGAGATCCTCTAACTTCCTTAGACCAAAACCACCCTCAGACTTTGGTCTACATACCTCCTTCCAGTTTATTGCATGAATGCTCCCTTTCCATAGAAAATTTGCAAATATAGCTTCTAGACTTTGAATAGTAGATTGAGGGAGTTTATAAACTGAGTACCAGTAGGCAGTAGTGCTGAATAAAATAGATTTAATAAGTTCAAGTCTCCCTGCAAAAGATAAAGAATGAGTTATCCATCCCTCAATTGAATATCTGATTTTATCAATCAGTGGAGAAAAATTCTTTGCTTTGGGATAATTTATGGATAATGGCAGTCCCAAATATTTAACTGGAAGAGAGCCTCTTGATATCTCCACTATAGAACATAATTCATCTTTGTTATTGCATCCTCTACTGAAAAAACCTTACTTTTGCTTCTGTTAATATTCAGTCCAGTGTTATTTGCCAGAGAGTCCAATAAAATGTTAATTCCTTGAAAAGATCTTTTATTTGCTCTGCAGAAGACCAGCATATCGTCAGCAAATAAGAGGTGAGAAACTTGGAGATCTTTATTCTTCTTAATATTTTGAATTTTTCCTATTAAGGTAGCCAGTTCCATACTTACAGACCAAAATTCCATCACAAGAACAAAGATATATGGAGATAGGGGATCTCCTTGTCTGATACCTCTATTGCTTTTGAAAAAACCAGATGAGGAGCCATTTAACAACACTGAAAATGAAGGGGTAGAGATACATTCTCTAATCCAATTAATCCAAATAACAGGGAATCCCATACAGTGCATGATAAAATAGACAAATTCCCTGTTAATGCTATCAAATGCTTTATGTAAATCAATTTTTAAGCAAGCTCTCTTACCATGTTTCTTTGAGAAATCCCTTAATAGCTCATGAGCCAATAATGAGCATTCACCTATCTGTCTACCTTGTAGAAAAGCATGTTGGTTAGTAGAAATCAGCTCCCCCACAACCAACTTTAACCTATTGCTCAGAATCTTGGTGATAATTTTATAAATGACATTTTCCATAGTTTTAAATAACTTGATCTCTACTTTTGTATATTTTAAATGTTTCTCTATTAACTTGTAATATCAGTTTTTGTGCTTCATAACTTTACATGTGATTTTTTTTCAGTTTAATTATTTATATATTTATCCTTGCGGTTGTTAACTTGGTGGACTTGTTATCTTTAAGTCTAAACTTTTATATACCTTGTCTTAGCTGAATGAGGGTATGTTTCGATGTTTGATGATATGTTTGATCACCTAGTTATCATCAATTAGGAGAGACTGTGCATGAAGACGACTCCTGTTAAAATATGGTTTATAAACGTCCTTTCATAGCATGGTTATGCCCTCGATATCGATATCCTGATATGAGGCATTTTCTTAGCTATTACTATTATAGCATCGACTAGACAATGCACTCATCTTGATTGGACATGTTTTGGGACACATTTATGTTTATTGTTTTACAAAAGTCATTCCACGGTAACTCTGTGGTTAGTGCACAATATTTCCACAGTCACTTCAATTAAATTGATAAACATAGAGTTTTTAAAGTGGAATTGGACGGAGAATATAACATGTATATGAACGGGCAAATGCGCATTCCTAATATTCTAAGTTATATATACATGGGCCAAAGGGCCAATACTTGACTTGAAGCTGTGTTCCTGGGATGGTTTACGGTGAACTGATTTATATACATGAAAATATTCTTCTCTAATTCAAATAACGTCTAAAATAATAATAATATATTTGTGTGGTTGGTGATGGACATTGTCTTGATCTCGTGATTAGCATTTTCTTTCATCACTATTAATTTAGAATTCATTTTTTATGCCACCTAAAATTACACGCTCACAATTCCCTCTTTTTACATGTTTGTTAGGAGTTTTCTGACTCGACTGGGATTTACATGCCCAGAGTTAGAAACTATTTTTTCTTCGCAGGACCGAGAGTATTTCGAGGAGTAGACTCAGCGGTAGTGATCACCATTCATCCTATCAGTTCTCCAGTTCAGTTGATTTAGGTTGTTTTTCAGTTAAGGGTTTCTCTTGAGTCACATGTAACCTTTTTGGACTATGAATGTAAAATTTTCATTACTCTTTCCTATCATGAATAGTTGTGACTCGTATTTGGACTCCGTCTTTTGGAGATTTCTTCACCTATACATTTTTTTATTATCTCGGTTACATGCTCTATTGTGTAGTTCGGTTTTATTTTGATATACAACATGTTCTAGAGGCGTGAATGTGGCCGAATGATTGCTTTGCCGGCCGAGTCACGTTTCATAACTATTAAGTTTGGAACTGAGGCGTGACAAGGTTTTTATTGATATTAGAGCCTAGGTTTAGGAATTGCTTTCTTGTCTTGTATACAAGTAAAAACTAAGATTGAGTAAAAAATAGAGCATGTATAGAATGAGTTCTTTCCTTTCCAGAAATAAATCCTTGACTCCCATTTCTCTGTTTCTCATGTCTTAATCTCGACCAATCTTAATTTAGGTGATCACTACGGCACCAAAACGTTGACCCCTACTTTAGTTGTCCCTGAGGGACACCAAGTCAATCAGCCTGATCTTGTAGAAGGGATTAGGAACCTGGTAGCTCATAATCTTTAGAGGGACGAGAAGCGGCAGGTTGCAAGGCCGGGCAATGTGTCCGATTTTCAAAATGTCAACCCATAACACTTTGCTGGGACTGAAGGCGGATATGAGGCCAAGATATGGTTGCAGACCATGGACCACTTATTGAGGGCAGTAAAGATACCAGATGAAGATAGTGCTGATATTGTACAACTGCAGCTCATTAACATAGCCAGGACATGGTGGGATGTAGAGGAGGAGAAGCTACCTAGGCTGATTTCATGGGAGACATTCTGAGAGAGTTTCCTAGAGGTATTTTTCCCGAAGACAGCTCATCTTGAGATGTAGAGGTAGTTTGTTATGCTGAGACAAAGAGCTAGTACAGTTGATGAGTATGCAACAGAATTTGTAAAGCTCAGTAGGTTTGCCCTAGGGATGGTATCGAATGAGGTGGATAAGGGACAGAGGTTCATGCATGGTCTGAATTTTGAGATCCAGACTTAGATTTACAGTCAGAAGGGGGTAGAGATTTATGCGTATGTCCTAGAGGCAGCTCGAAAGGTAGAACAGCTGATTGGGATCATGAACTCAGTGAGGAGAGGGGCTACCAAGTGTCCTGTAGGTCAGACCTCGGGAGCTAACTAGCAGAAGCCTCAGACGGGAGGAGCACCAGTTAAGCGCTATCAGACAAGGACTTCGAGACTAGCTCCACAACCAACTAGCATGATTTGTCATTTTTATAGCAAGCCATGACACTTGATGAAGGACTGTCGGAGAGCTAACGAGTTGTGATTAGCATGTGGTGTGACGGATCATCAACTCACCACTTTTCCTAGTAGAGGAGTCTCAGGAGGATATTCAGGTGGAGCAATAGCACCAGCAGGCCAGACTAAGCAGGGTAGACCACAATTGAGGCTACCACTTCCCACGCAGTAGCAGATGTTTCGAGGACAACAGAGGAGTCAACAATTTCAAGGCCAGAGATAGTGGAGAGGTTCTCATTTCTAGCAGCCATATCAGTCGTAGTATTAGCAGAGATACCCAGGGTAATATGGTCAGCATGCTTAGCAGCAACAGAGACAAAGTCGGGTTATGACACTTACCGCTGAGTAGGCAGATGTATCTGGTTATGTAGTCACAGGTACCATTTTGGTCTATTCAGTCCCTGAATTTTCCCTATTTGATTCTGGAGCATCGTACTGTTTTATATCTGCTCAGTTCATTGCACGACACACCATACCATGTGAAAGTTTAGAGGCAAGCTAGAATATCCATACAGGTAGCGGGATGTTAATGTCTAGTAGGAAGTGTAAGAGATGCCCAATGGTAGTTTGTGGTAGGGAGCTATTTGTAAACTTGTTAGAGATTGAAACTAACAAGTTCGATGTTATTTTGGGGATGGATTGGCTCTACAACTTCCATGTGATTATCGATTGTCGATGCAGAAGCATAGTGTTCAAGTACCAGGCCACCCAGAGTTTGAATTCATGAGTGGGAGCACAGTGATAGAGCAGCCAGAGTATCGAGCAGGCATGGGTGAAGTATTAACCTTTATAGAGGTAGAGAAGAAGCCCATACTAAAAATTATCATGGAGTTCCTTGAGGTTTTTCCTGATGAGTTGCCAGATCTGCCACAAGATCGAGATATATAGTTCATCATCGATATTATTCTAGGAGTTGCACCTATTTCAAAACCACCTTACCAGATGCCGATAGCAGATTTAGAGGAGTTGTGGTAGCAAGTCCAGGAGAATCTTGATAAGAAATTTATCAGTCTTAGTACTTTACCCTGGGGAGCACCAGTGGTGTTTGTGCTAAAGTCGGATGGTAGCCGAAGGATGTGTATTGACTATATGGAGTTGAATCGGGGTACCATAAAAAAATAAATACCTAATTCCCAGGATTGATGATCTTTTTGATCAACTCAGAGGAGCTAGGGTGTTTTCTAAGCTGGACCTCAGGTCAGGCTATCATCAGGTGACGGTGAGGAAAGAAGACATACCCAAGATAGTATTCCGCACACGGTACGGGCACTATGAGTTTTTGGTGATGCCATTCAGAGTGACAAATGCTCCATCTACATTTATGAGCTTGATGAACAAGGTGTTTTCCTAGTATCTTGACCAATTTGTAGTGGTGTTCATCGATGATATTCTTGTATACTCCAAGACCAAGGAAGATCATGCAGAGCATCTAAGGACGATGTTGGAAATCCTACGGAAGGAGAAGCTTTATGGAAAATTTGACAAATGCTCCATCTACATTTATGAGCTTGATGAACAAGGTGTTTTCCTAGTATCTTGACCAATTTGTAGTGGTGTTCATCGATGATATTCTTGTATACTCCAAGACCAAGGAAGATCATGCAGAGCATTTAAGGTTGGTGTTGAAAATCCTACGGAAGGCAAAGCTCTATGAAAAATTGAATAAGTGTGAGTTTTGGTTGGAGCAAGTGTCCTTTCTAGGCCACGTAATTTTAGGAGTAGGTATGTCTATGGACTTGAAGAAGGATGATGCAGTGTTGAGGTTGGATCCGCCTACATTTGTAACAGAAGTGCAAAGTTTCGTAGGGATGGCTGGATACTATATGAAATTTACAAAGGATTTCGCTAAGATTGCAGGACCACTCACTAGGCTGACTGTAAAACCCCAAAAATTTATGAATAATATAATTAATATATGATAAATTATGATATGTGGATATTTAGTATGATAAATATTATTTAATGGTATATGAGTATAATACCATGTGTTTTGAGTATGAACGAGTTCATACAAGAGAGAGAGAAGAGTTGAAACATGCACAAATGGCCAAACACATGGGTATCTGGAAATGCCTAGTCCAGTCGATCGTCGCGGAAATGCCGTAGTCCGGTCGACCGCTACGGTCGACTGCAAAACCTGCAGACTGTTTTAAACCTGTTTTGTGTTGTTTTCAGATTTCTAAACCCATATTCGTTTTTCCTTGATACATATATGAGTTTTTCATGTTTTATTCAGTATTCCTAAGAACCCTAATAGCCACCAAACTCCCCAAAATCTAGTTTGATTTCTTAGAGAAGATTGGAGGTTTTCAAGTTGGGTTTTTGTTGATTTTTGGCTTTTGGAGTGGAGATCTCCTTTGACGTTGCTTCTAACACGTTTTCCCACAACCACAGACGTGTATCATCTCTGCTAATTCCCCTCCTAGTTTTTAAAAGGTTTTTAAAGAGATTTAAACATGTTTTGTAGAGCCTAAACGACTAGATTATGTATAAAAGACAATTTTTTTGTATTATATGTATAAATATTAGGTCTTTTCATGCTAAAAAGGTTGAGCACGAATTTTACAGATGTATTTAAGATCTGAAGATGATTTTAAGACGTTGTTAATCTAAAGAAAGAAGATTAATTTATTGTTTTGAGCTTTTATGCATGTTTTAGGGTTTTGAATATAAAT